ACATCCGGCTGCTGGCGAGCCCCACCCGCCGTGCCAGCGCAGCGTCGAACTGTATACAGGGTAGTTGTGGCGAGCTCTTCCGCGCAGGCTCGGCATAGGACAGCACATGCAGTACACCCTCAAGTGAAAGAGCCATCACAAAGCAGTCCTCGTCCGCCCCCTCCACTCGATTCTCACTACAGGATCCGACTTGAATAAGGAACACTTACTTTTCAAAAGGGGCTCGGTCGTTCCTTGGGTTTGCATGCGTTCCGCTACCTTTTTGGCGGCGATCCCCCCTGGTGTTCCTTCGGACTTCGTAGACTCACTTGGAAAAAAAGGGGCTTCGTTCCTTATTTATCGTTCCTTAGGTCAGGTCGAATCTTGTATCCCTCACCTTCGGGCGTCCATTTCGACCCGATCGATCCGCTTCAACATCGGTTCTGGCTGGCCCGATCCGCTTCGGCTCCGAGGCTCTGACGGTGCGCTGCAGCCCGACGTTTGCATCGAGCTGTCGTGCACATCCCGGCGCACCCGATCCGATCCGAGTCCGATCCCGTGCCGAGGCAGCCTGACCCGATGCACATTTCGATCCGACCCGATTCGATGTTGGCTGGTCCTGCCTTCCCCTCCCTTCCTCCTGCTCAAGCCGCCTCGATCATCGATCCCCCCCGCCATGTCGCACCCCGCCCTCACTGTAGCTCCTGGGAACGGCAGGCGCGTTGTAACCGTTTCCAGGAATATGGATCTTGATAATGACGCGTTCGGAAACACGGTTCGCCGAAACGGAATGCATGTGTTGGGATTGAAGCCGGAGCCGGACCCAGGTAAACGTTGCGACAAACACAAGGCAAGACAACGGCGCCGGAACATTTGGGGAAGCTCGGGAGCACTAAAATCGATACAACAACGGCTTGACCTCAGCGGCGGCGGCGACGACGACGACCGAAGCCCCGACCACTCGGCCGCGCGGATGCGGGCTGCTCCCAGCAGGAGGGGGATGATGGTGATGATGGTGATGATGATGATGATGATGATGATGATGATGATGATGCTGATGCTGCTGCTGCTGCTGCTGCTGCTGATGATGATGATGATGATGATGATGATGATGATGATGATGATGATGATGATGATGATGATGATGATGATGATGATGATGATGATGATGATGATGATGATGACGAGGATGAGGAGGAGGAGGAGGAGGAGGGGAGGAGAGGAGGAGGAGGAGGAGGAGGAGGAAGGAGGAAGAGGAGGAGGAGGATGAGGAGGAGGAGGAGGAGGAGGAGGAGGAGGAGAAGGAGAGGAGGAGGAGGAGGAGGAGGGAGAGGAGGAGGAGGATGAGGAGAGGAGGAGGAGGAGGAGGAGGAGGAGGAGAGGAGGAGGAGGAGGAGGAGTCAGGAGGAGGAGGAGGAGGAGGAGGGATGAGGAGGAGGAGGAGGAGGAGAGGAGGAGGGGGAAAAAAGGGAAATAGTGAGGAGGAGGAGGAGGAGGAGGAGGAGGAGGACGAGGAGGAGGAGGAGGAGGAGAGAGGAGGAGAGAAGGAAGGAGAAGGAGGATGAGAATGGGAGAGGAGGAAGAGGAAGGGGGGGAAGAAAGGGGAGGAGGAGGAGGAGGAGGAGGAGTAGGAGGAGGAGGAGGAGGAAGGGAGGAGGAGGAGGAAGGAGGAGGAGGAGGAGAGGAGAGGAGGAGAGAGGAAGAGAGGGAGGAGAGGGGAGGAGGAGGAGGAGGATAAGAAGAAGGGGAACGAGGAGGAGGAGGAGGAGGCGATTGTGGAGGAGGCGATTGTGGAGGAGGCGAGTGTGAAGGAGAAGGAGGAGGAGGAGGAGGAGGAGGAGGAGGAGGAGGAGGAGGAGGAGGAGGAGGAGGAGGGAGGAGAGGAGGGGAGGAGGAGGAGGAGGAGGAGGAGGAGGAGGAGGAGGAGGAGGTTGTGGAGGAGAGCGCCCCCTGCCGCCCCCCGCAACGGCCCGCGCCCCCCCGCCGCGCCGAAGCCGCGGGCCCCGCGGGCCGGCGAGCCGAGGTCAGCGCGCGGCCGCCGCCCGCGCAGGAGAGGCCGCCCCTCGGCTGTGCCCACTGGGGGGCTCGTCTCGCGTTGGGTCTTTTTTTTTGAGCTCAACGCCGGCCCTTTCTGACCGAAAGAGTACCTCCAGCAGCCCCATGGGCAGGAGGCACTGGCCACACGACGGGCGACCGCCCCGTGGCCAGAGCAAGAGAAAAACAGTCCAGTGCCTCAGCAGGGCATACGGTCAGTTGGGTCTCGGGCATGTCCTTTAGGTTGGTCTGAGGTGGATAGACCTCCTACCCTGACACGTCGATTAGCGAATTGGCCGTTTTCGGTTCGCGAGGGGGTGTCGCGGCCGTCATTGTTGCGGGTCCAGGTCCGTCGGTTTCGGTCCCAGGCCGTGGTCAGTAAGGGGAGGTTTACGAAAGGGAGGTTTGTCCACCGCCGAGTTGGTATCGCGTTGGGTCTCGCGTTGGGCCTCGGGCCGGATGTGGTTGAAGCGGTCGGTATCTTTCGGTCGGGCGTGTCCCCCTACAGGCGGAGTTGTGACGAGAGATGAACAACAAATAGTCGAATAATGCTCCTCCCGAAGTGATCACGAGTAGTCAATAGATAGTCTCCAGACTATGTTTGGACTATTTGTTTGAATTTTCCTCCTGTAGGGGGACATGCCCGACGTAAGTGTCGCGGTGGGTCGAAGGGAAGTCTCTGGGCCTCCCAGGCGAGCGACGGAAGAGAACGTCAGAGGATGAACAGGTACCCAGATCGAGCAGTGACGCAGCGTCTTGGCTTGCCTATAGGCCTACCAAAGAATGTTCTAAGAACCTTTTGTGGTCTGCGAGAAATGTTATCAGAACAGTTCTGGCTGAGACTGTCTTGTGTTTAACACATCGGGCTTATGTTCTAAGCACACTGTTTTATTATTAGAACATTTTTTAGGGGGTTCAAAGAACACTTCGTGGTAGGCCTATAGGAATGCCAGGACGGTCGGTCCCTACTCAAGTCTCTGGCCTCCCAGGCGAGCGACGGAAGAGAACGTCAGAGGAGGAATAGGTACCCATACACCGCTACGCTTCCCTCGTGCTTCCCTTTTTGGGAGGCCTCCTGGGGCTCTCACGGCGCCACCGCTGGATTCGCTTCAAAATGTTGGTCAGAACGCACCCTGGGAGAGGTCCAGGACGTAGCGGTATGGATACCTTTTGGTTTCCCCAGTGGCGGGTCGGAGGAAGTCTTCGGACATGGCTAGGACAAGGATAAATCCGTTCCAGAGCGTTCTGGACCGCTATCGGAGCGTTCTGGAATGCTCTGCGAAGGCCTCGGCGCCCGAGACATCCTCCAGAGCCGCCAGATCTCAGAGATTCTCGAATTATCCTTACCAGACTTGGGCCTCCAAGATGGGGTCGGAGCCATGGGGCCGTAGGATCGTCCCAATGGCGGGCTGTGTTCCAATCCCAGAACTTTTCGATGGTCGGGGATGACGTCGGGGTGGTGTGGTGTATATCTTTGGGGGGTCCGTTGCCCGAGGAAGCGACGAAAAATGTATACACCAGGGACCCGTATACACCAGGGACCCGTATACACCAGGATCCGGTTTCCCTTGCACATTTCAGTGCAGGGCCGGACGTAGCGTCGGTGTATAGAGTTCGTTCCCTACTCTGGGCCTCCTGGATGGGGTCGGAGCAGATGGGGTCGGAGGATCGCGCCGCATCGCCGATGCACCGACGATGCGGCTCGATGTGGAGCCCGCTTTTCCCCACGCCGATGTATCGCCGACACATCGGAGATGCATTGGCGATGCAGGACGATTCTTCGACCCCATCTACTCGGACCCCATCTAGGAGGCCTCCTGCTCTGGGCATCCCAGGTGAGCGACGGAAGAAAACGGGGTCGTATTCACCGACCTTCGTGCGTAAGTTGAAGTCGGGCGTGCCCCTCTACAGGAGGAATGTTCAAACATAGTTCGAATAGCCTGAGGACGATGTTTTTTGTTTTTTTGGTGTATCTCTGGATTTATGTGTCTGACAATGTTGTATGTTTCGTCCACAGCCCCTCTGTAGGAGGGCACGCCCGACCTCAGCGCAAATTGCTCGCGCAGTAAGGTCGCGCGGGAGCGCCCTCCTCCGCTCCACGCCCGCGTGCCGCGGCTGGCGGCCGCGGCAAAAAATGGTCGCGCCGTGCCACCTCGCTCGGGACCACGTGGGGTCGGAGTGCAAGTCTCTGGGCCTCCCGGGTCCTCCTCCTCCTCCGCCTCCTCCTCCTCCTCCGCCTCCTCCTCCGCCTCCTCCTCCTCGTCCGCCTCCTCCTCCTCCGCCTCCTCCTCCTCCTCCTCCGCCTCCTCCGCCTCCTCCTCCTCCGCCTCCTCCTCCTCCTCCTCCGCCTCCTCCTCCTCCTCATCCTCCTGCTGCTCCTGCTCCTGCTCCTGCTCAGGACTCATTTCGGCTCCTTCGATTCGATGTGTTTTTAGAGGCTTCCCGTGGCGGATCCGCTTCGATCTGGGATTCCGATCTGGGCTCCGAGGTCTCTCCGAGCTCTCCCGGGTCCTCCTCCTCCTCCTCCTCCTGCGCTGCGGGCTTGGCGGTCCAGTCGCCATAGCCCCGCGCCGCGCCGCGGGCCGAAGCGGTCGCAGCCGACGCTCCGTCGCGACGGAAGGCCTCCGAAGTCCTCGGAGATACTCCGAGCGCCTCGGAAAGCCTCCGAGGGGGCAGGGGCCTCAGGGGTCCTCGGGCCCCCCCCCCGACCGGAGAAGGGGAAGGGGCAGGAGGTGCCTTCAGGGCCTCTGAAAGGGGGGGGAGGGGTCGAGGTGGAGGGCCGCGGCCCGAAGCCGCCGCCCGCGGCAGCTGCCGCTGAGGCATGGGAGTCGACCTCCACGCCCCCCAGGGGCCGCCTACCCTCCTCTCTGGCAGGAGGGCGGCACGCTCACCCCTGAGGGGGCGTCGACGATGGTGAAGGTGGCTTACTGGTGGGCCGTGTGCCTGAGCGCCAGGAGATTACTCACGTAGGCCTCGTTGAGGCCTTGTTACGGCCATGGCGCCGTACCCCGAAGGGCGTTGACGCAGTCGGCGCCCTCGAGGCCGTCGTTGAGGTCGGAGCCGTGGCCGAGGACCATGTTGTGGGGCGGAGGCTGGGTCTCCAGGTTGGTGACGCGCGCGCCGTCGGAGACGTTCTCCTGGGGCGCGTCGTTGTAGCGGGCGTCGCCGTCGTCGGCTGGGCCGGCTGGGTCGTAGGGCAGGTTCTCGGTGTCGTTCTTTGGGTCTTCTTCCTCGTCCTCGGTGTCGAATTGGTCCTCCGAGGCCGTCTCTGGGGATTCGGGCCCCGCCTCGAAGGTGTAGATCTCTGGGTCTTCGTTGAAGCGCACCTTGTGGTACCTTCCTGGCCTTGGGCTCGCTCCCGTTGCCTTCTCATCCTTGGAGTCGCTCCCGTAGCTCTTCTCGTGGCCGCCGATCCGCTGGGCCTCGTTCGTGTCGACGTGGTCGCTGATCCACTGGGCCTCGTGCGTGTCGACGTGGTCGCCGATCCGCTGGGCCTCGTTCGTGTCCTGTTTCTCGTGGCAGGTGGTCCACTGGGCTTCGTACGTGTCGACGTGGTCGCCGATCCGCTGGGCATCGTTCTGCTTCACGTGGCCGTCGGTCTTCTGGGCCTCGTAGGTGTCTATGTGGCCGCCGATCCGCTGGGCCTCGTACGTGTCGACGTGGCCGGTGTTCCGGAAGGCGGAGGCTGCGATGATCTCGGCGATCCTGGCTGGGAGGGGCATGTTCAGGGCGGCCATGTGGGCGAGGGTGTTGGCGTTGGGCCCGTCGATGCCTGCATCGCGGAGCGCGGCGCAGACTGCCGCTTTGTTCTTCTGGAAGGTGTCGCACTCCTTGTCGTCCTGGCCTTGCTCGCTCTTCTCGATCGCGCTGCTCCCAGCGCTGTTGCTGTCGTTCTCGGGCTCAGGCTGGTACTCCTCGAGCTGCTCCTCGCAGTCCGCGTTGCTGTCCTCCGCGTCCTCCTGCTCGTACTCATTTGCGCCCCCCCCTGTACGGGACGTCTTGGCAGCAGGTAGGGGTTGCTGCGCTGGCGGTGATGCGCCCACCCCAGTACGGGACGTCTTGGCAGCAAGCGGGGATTGCTGCGCTGGGGTGTTTGCGTCCCCCCCCCGCACAGGACGTCTTGCCAGCAGTCGGGGGTTGCTGCGCTGGTGTGGGTGCGTCTGGTAGTGCAGCCCTCGTCTGGCGCTCGGCTTTCGCCTGGCCAGCTGCTTCGGCTCGGCGTGCGGCAGCAGCTCGGGTCGCCTCCTCTGCACGCGCCCGCAGGTAGACCTCCGTGGGGTAGGCGACCGCTGGCGGCGCAGGGCGCGCTGGGTCTAGCGGTTCGCCCAGGAGCCGTTCCGCTTCGAGGTCCGTGCCTGGCGGCGCGTTCTGCTCCTCGGGCTGCACGTCGCCCTTCCAGTTGCTCTGTTGCCCATCGTGGGGCTTACTCTGATTGAGGACCTGGATCACGATGTACCTCGTCTCTATGTTGATGCCAGCTGCGCGAAGCACCGCCTCGCAGGCGTCGCGGCGCCGCCTGCGGGCGAGTCGGCGCGCCTTGCAGGCGCCGAAGCGGTCGACTTCGCTCTGGCGCTGGTTCGAAGGCCGCCACTCGTTCGGGCAGCCCCCCTCGTTCCTCGTCTCGTTGTGCTTCCATGGCTCGGGGCTGTGCCTGGCGCAGAGCTGCCGCCCGCGCGCCTGGCTGGCGCCCATGAGGTCCATCCCCGCAGCGGCCCGCCTTGAGCCAAAATGGCTACGGACCCTCCTCCTCCTCCTCCTCCTCCTCCTCCTCCTCCTCCTCCTCCTCCTCCTCCTCCTCCTCCGCCTCCTCGTCCGCCTCCTCCTCCTCCTCCTCCTCCTCCTCCTCCTGCTCCTGCTCCTCCTCCTCCTCCTCCTCCTCCTCCGCCTGCTCGGGGCTCATTTCGGCGCCTTCGATTCGATGTGTTTTTTTAGAGGCTTCCCGTGGCGGATCCGCTTCGATCTGGGATTCCGATCTGGGCTCCGAGGTCTCAACGGCGGCCTGCCGGCCTGCCGATGTCCGCCGCTCCGACCTCTCCGGGCTCGGCTGCCGACACCCGCCGATCCGATTCGTGTCGACCTTGATCCGACTCGTCCATTCGACTCCAGGCTCACCTCCCAGGTTCCCAGGTGGGGTCGGAGTACAGTCGGGACCTCGTGGCTGGCGTCCGCTGGTCCTGGCCCACCGCGTTGTGGCGCGGCACACGCTGTCCACTGTCCCGGTCCCCAGGCTTACAGGAGGGATATTCAAAAATATTGACAAAATAGTCCAGGGACGATTTTTTTGTTTTTTTTTTAGCATTTGGAGGGTATTTTGTGACTATTTTTCATGTTTCGCCTCAAGCCCTCCTGTAGGGGGACACGCCCGATGTAACCCCAGGCGTCAGTGTCTCGCTCGCGTTTTTCCGAGCACCCCGCCCGGCGGGGCGGAGCGGCACGCCACCCAGAAGTCTCCGACCGCAGACGGGGTCGGAGGGCCGCGCCGCATCGACGATGCCTTGCTGGTGCAGCTCGGTGTGGAGCCAGCGTTGCGCCACGCGCCGCCGGCGCCGATGCAGCCGCGGTGCGGCGCGATCCTCCGGCCACATCTCCTCGGACCCCCTCTGGGAGGCCTCTGACTCTCGTCTCGGGCCGGGCGACAAGCGAGGGCCTCCAAACCACGACTGTCTCGCGTCGTGACAAAAAGCAACGGGAGGTGTTCGGCCATTGTCGGCTTCTGGGAGCATTTGGCCGTCAAGCAATGGCTCGGGATGGGGAGCCGGTCGCGGAGAATGGGCCCAGACTTTTTGGGGGGTGGCGTAGTGAAAAAGCCACGACGTCGGGGGATTGGGAATTGACGGTGCGGTGACCACACCGTGTGGTGAGTCAGTGGGGGTTCGGAGTGGCCGCACGGTTTTGTGACTCGCATCGATCTCCAAGGATGTCTCGGGCGGCTCGGGCCTCGGGGGTCTCCCAGCCGTGCGGCGACGGAGCGAGCGGTGAGGTCTCTCTTGGGATCCTGAGGTCCCCGCACGGGGTGCCGCACCGTGTTGGTCGGATGTAATGGAGGATGACGGTCAATAAATGACCGGGGGTCGTGTTCACGCGGCGGCGCCCGGGATGACGATTAGAAGAAACCGGCCGCGGGCTGGAAAACTATTCTTTTTAATCGTTCTCTTCCAGTCAGAAAATTATGCAGAAGTTGCAGAAAACTATGTTTTTAATCGTTCTCTTCCATTTTTTCATTAATCGTCATCCCGCATTAGCCAGGGCCCCGGGCAAGGGTCGCTGGTCAGTGATTGGGCCCCGTTGCCCAGAGCATAAACCAGAATCACTGAACCAGGTCTGCCGTAAGCTGTGCTCTTCGGGTGGCGGCAGTTCCGGTCAGTGGAGTGGGGCGGGGGAGGCGCCCCCAAGCACATATTACTGAACCGGGTCTTACTAGATCACGGGAGGAAGAGGCACCCAGGCCCGATAATTGGCGTTTGCTAAACGGCCCGGGGCGTTTGCTAATTAAACAGCCTTGCCCTGTTCGATTCCTTCTGTGGGTGCGTGTGCGAAACGGCGTCGCGTGCCGGGGTGATTGTCACACGGGGTATGGATTCCCTGCCCTCTGCTGGAGCCCGTCCTGCCAATGCCCCACCGGGATCCCCAAGGGACGCGTGGGGGGGGGGGGCTGCGTTCGGCCCCGCTCCGCCGGGCGCTGCCCTCGCCAATTCGCCTGCAGGGCGCTGCAGGGAGGGCCTGGCCCTCGAGGGCCGACGGGGTGGGCAGCCCCTCCTCAGGGGCCACCCGCGTTCGTTACCCGCGGACGGCATGTGTGCACCGCACCGCGTGGGCGCCTCCTCGAGGCGCCGTCGATGCTCGACGCAGGGATGGTGCGGTGCACAGTCGTCTGGCCCCCGGAGCCCTGCACCGTACCGATGCGGAGCGGGGCCTGAACGGAGCCCAGACATGGTACGGTGCACGGGCGCCGTTCTCGTACGTGCGTCTGGGAGTCGATGAGATAGCGCCGGTGTAGCGTCGACCAGCGTCGATGAGCGTCGCTTTAGCGTCGATTAGCGTCAACCAGCGTCAATTAGCGTCGATTCGCAAGAGCCGACAAAATGGCACCGTACATCGACAAAATGTTGCGTCACTTTTGCTGCGCATTGGCACCTATAGTGCACTGCTCTTTTCCCCCCTTCCCCCCGATCTTAATGTTGGGTGCATGGCGAAGAGCCCTTGGGCCGCCCAGGCGCTCCCGACAAAATGTTGCATTACCGAGATGTTTCGACCAGCCTGGACGGAACCCAAAAACAAGATCGGGGAGGAGGGGGGGCAGGAAACAAACGCTTATAGAACAGCGATGCGATGTATTGTCCGCGTCAGGTGCCTTCACAGAGGGGCAGGAGGGGAAGGAGGAAGGAGGGGTTGGGCGGGGCTGGGAAAGGGATAAAGTGTTCAAGTGCGTCCTGGAACGCTCCTGGAGGTTTCCGGAACGTCGTGAGAAGGGCACGGCGCCCCGATGCATCGTTTGGAACCGCGGATCTCATAGTGCCAGGGGCGGCGCCTCAGGTGCCGCCCCTGGCGCGCTCCGCGCGCCAGTGAGGCGGGTCCAGTGCCGATTCGAGACATCCACGCGGACCTCAGAGTTTTTATGTTTATGTCATTCTTCGTTCCACTAGAGAGACACCCTGCTTGCCTCCAGGGTGCCCTGGGTTTCTTGGGTTTGGATGGTTTTGCCATGGAAGGCGTGGCGCTCCCACACCAGAATTCGGTGGACACCCTGGGGTCTCAGGGTTTGGGTTTCTTGTGGGAGATTTCTTGTGGTCGGGCCCCTACTGTACGGTCGGCCCGCGTAGTAAGGAGGAGCAACTTTCCAAGGGGGGCCGTTGCATCCTTGCCTCTTCGGTCATCTCCGGTCCATCCTCAACCACTTTCGATGGCCAGCCCCGCTGGAAGAGATTCGGCGTGGGAGTCCAAGGCCCCTGCATCCTCACCGCGCCTCCTTCCTCTACGGGTTGACTGCAGCCCTTGGCATCGCTCAGACGCGTGCATGTCTTCTCGGCGAGAACCCTCGAGGACCACCCTGGACCATCGAGCAAAGAAAGCACGCACGAAACCGAAACGTGCACGGGAAATGGACGTCCGAGCGATGGCGAGAGCCGCGCGTCGCGCCTGGCGGGGTGCGGCGCGCGAAAACAGAGGTGGCCCGGCGGCGGCGGCGGCGGCAGAGCGCGCTGGCGGCTCCGCGCCGGCGGCGGGCCGGCGGAGGCCGGCGGAAGCACGAGGCGCCCCCGGCCCCGAAGAGGCGGCGAGTCTTGCAGGCCAGCCACAACTTCGGGAGCGGAGAAGAGGGGGGTGATGGCTAGGGGGGGGTGGATTTCATGGCGCGGGCCATGGTTTCTCCTGAGATTTCGTGGCGCCTCTTCTTGTTTCATTGCGTCCCAGGCCCCCCCGCGGGGCCGCGCACATGCCGCCGGTCATGATTTGCACCCCCCCTCTTGGACACCCCCCTCTTGGCCGCTCCCGATAGCTGGGGGAGCTGTGGTCCTTACCCCCCTGGGGGATCCACCGATTTCGACACCCCTCTCGAGAGATCGTCGATGCGATGGGTTCCCCCAGGGGGGTGAGGACCACAGCTCCCCCAGTTATGGCTGGTCGGTCTTGGTGCTCCAGGGGTTCTTGACGAACCAACAACACACACCCATACCCATAGGGGGGTCGGAGATGGGCTATGGGTGCGTGTTGTCGGATGGGGGTCCCCGTTCGAACGGGAGCGTTCCCCAGGGTCCGAGAGCCCGCACCCATACCCATGGCCAGTCCTCCTCCCAACGACCCCCCCTGTGGGTATGGGGTATGGGTGTGTGTTGTTCGTTCGTCAGCTCTGGAGCGGGCCACATGGGCGCGCCCCGGCGCCAGGAAGAAACCAGGCGCGTGAGTTGCTTCACTGACCCCCCCCTTACTGCCCCCCCCGCCCCTCTTCGGTCCGGCCCGAGCTCGGTCGGGGGGCGTGTCGCGCGGGGGGGGCGGTGGGGGGAGGCGAGGAGGGCAGGAGGCTGGGTCCCGCCTTGTCCCAGCTCCTCCTTCCCCTCTCGCCCCCCCCCCCCACCCGCCACTCGGTCTGCGCTCCCCGGTTCCTCCAGCCCGCCCTGTGCTCCCTTGCTGCCCTCCCGCCTTGTCCCTTCAGTCCCTTCGGTTCCTCTGCGTTTCTCACCTCAACTTTTCCCCTGCCCGCCCTCTCACCTCCCCCTGTGCTGCCCCCCTCTGCTCACGCCCCCTGTCGCCGTGTCCATGCTCGTCCCCCTCACGACATGTATGCTCGCGCCGCGTCGGCGCGGCGGCGACCTCCGCGTGGGCGCTCAAGGGGGAACGCCGCTAGGGACCTGCACTATCAGACGGCCCCGATCGTTCAAGCTTTGAGTCGGGCGTGCCCCTCCACAGGAGGAATAGTCAAAAGAGATAAAAAATAATCAGGGGACGATTGTTTGAGTGATTGTTGGCTGTTTTTGAGTATTTTTTGAACATGTTTTATTCCACCTCCCAAATTCGCCTGTGGGGGGGGACACGCCCGACCGAACGCTAGTGATCTGGACTATCAGGAGGCCCCGATCGTTCAAGCTTGAACGACCAGACGCGGCGTCAGCAACCAGCACCCGCGCCATCACGACGCGAACATACCCCTCTGCGTCCCCGTCGTTCCCCCTTCCCTTCTCCTCGATGCTCCTTCCCACATGCTGGTC